TCATCAGTTGATGGACATTTGGGCACTTTACATACTTTGGCTATTGTCAGTAGTGCTGCTATAAACATTGAGGTGCATGTGCCCCTTGAAAACAGCACTCCTATATCCTTTGGATAAATACCTAGTAGTGCAATTGTTGGGTCATAGGTTAGTTCTATATCTCATTTTTGAGGAACCCATACTGTTTTCCAGAGTGGCTGCACCAGTTTGCATTCCTACCAACAGTGCAAATGGGTTCCTCTTTCTCTGCATCCTTGCCAACATCTGTTGTTGCCTGACTTGCTCAATTTAGCCAGGTGTGAGGTGGTATCTCATTGTGGTTTTGATTTCTGTTTCCCTAATGATGAGTGATGTTGAGCGTCTTTTCATGTGTCAGCCATCTGGTGTCTTTGGAGAAGTGTCCATTCATGTCTTTTGCCCATTTTTTCACTGGGTTTTTTTTTGGGGGGGGGGTGTTGAATTTGGTAAGTTCTTTATAGATTTGGGATACTCACCCTTTATTTGATATATCATTTGCAAATATCTTCTCCCATTCCATCACCTTTTAGTTTTGCTGATTGTTTCCTTTGCCATGCAGAAGCTTTTTATCTTGATGATGTCCCAGTAGTTAATTGCTTTTGTTTCCCTTGCCTCTGGAGTCATGTTGAGTGGGAAGTTGCTGCCTCTTAGGTCAAAGAGGTATTTGCTAGGATTTTGATGGCTTCCTGTCTTTCGTTTAGGTCTTTCTCTATTTTGAGTTTATTTTTGTGTATTGTGTAAGAAAGTGATCCAGGTTCATATTTCTGCATGTCGCTGTCCAGTTTTCCCAGCACCATTTTGCTGAAGAGACTGTCTTTATTGCATTGGATCTTCTTTCCTGCTTTGTGAAAGATTAGTTGGCCATATGTTTGTGCGCACATTTCTGGGTTCGCTATTCTTTTCCATTGATCTCTGTGTCTGGTTTTGTGCCACTACCATACTGTCTTGATTACAATTTAGTAATAGATCTTTAAGTTTGGAATTGTGATGCCTCCAGCTTTTGTTTTCTTTTTCAGGATTGCTTTGGCTGTTTGGGGTCTTCTCTGGTTCCATACAAATTTTAGGATTCTTTGTTCTAGCTCTGTGAAGAATGCTGGTGTTATTTTGATAGGGAGACACAGTGGTTTTTAAAAAGTGTGATGTTTAATTTTCACATACTTGAATTTTCCAGCTCTTCTTCTTTTTCTAGTTTCATTCATTGTGATTTCAATACTAAAAACTGTTTTATCATCTTAAAAACATTTTTTTTTAATGTTTGTTTATTTGGAGAGGGGGCAGGGGGAGAGAGAGAGAGGAAGAGATAGAATCCCAAGCAGGCTTTACGCTGTCTGTGCTGAGCCCAATGGAGGGCCTGATGTCATGTACTGTAAGATCATGACCTGAGCTGAAATCAAGAGTTAGAAGCTTAACCAAATGAGCCACCCAGACGCCCCATCTTTTTAAATTTATTAAAACTTGTTTTATGTGTGCCCAATATGTAATCTACCTTTGTAATACTTTTTGTCTACCATTCAGATTCTGGTTTGGTCAGTTGTCCCAATGATGTCCTTTATATCATTTTCTTTTTCCAGTGCAGGATCCATTTGGAGATCACATATTGCATTTAGTTGTCCTATCCTATTAATGTCCCTTAATCTGGAGCATTTCTTCAGATTTTGTCAAGGTGCTGACATTTTTGAAGGCTACAAAAACAAATTATTAGGTTGTTCCTCAGTTGTGTTTATCTGATGTTTCCTTATGATTAGATTCAGGTTGGGTAACCCAGTCTGTCTGCTACATAAGCAATGTATCTTGGTCAGTTGATCACATCTAGAGACAAATGATGTCTATCTTCCCCTCACTGGCAATATTAATTTGATCACTATTCATTGAAGGTGTTATTTGGTTTCTTTGTGGTATAGTTACTGTTTGTTTTTGGGCTTTTTTTGGTAACTAATTAATAGTCATTGGGAGATACTTTGACATCATCCAAGCATGCTATTCCACATTATACTTTCCTCCTTGATTTAGCATCTTTTGAAGATACTTGTCCAAACGAATTTTCACAAAATTGATATTTATCAACTGTACCATTTGTCATCCATCTCTAAGGAAGAGCCCTATATTCTTGGGCATTTGTTTATTTCATGGATTTATTATTATTTTTTTCTTAGTGTGTGAATAAGTAGGGAAGGGACAGAGGGAGAGAGAATCTTAAGCAGGCTCCATACCCAATGCAGAGCCTGATGCAGGGCTCAAATCTTATGATCATGAGATCATGACCTGACTGGAAATCAGGAGTCGGACTCTTAACTGAGCCATCCAAGCTCCCCTCATGGATTTATTATTAATGTGGGTTCATGGATTTCCTATTTTACTCAGTGGTTTCTAATTCATTGTTAGCATTATTTGTTTTCATGCTCAAATTGCCTTTCTCTTAGTGGGAGTCCATTTAGGTTTGCTTCTGTGTCCTTTTGATATGAGAACCAAAGTGAAATTTATACTTTATGGGTAATGTGTTTTAGTTCTTGAAGAACTTTTTTCATCCTCAAAGTCATGAAGATTGTTTGTTTTCTAAAAGCTTATTTTGCCTTTTACATTTATGTTTAATTCTAGTTGGAATTAAAATTACGCATAGTATGAAATAGAGGCTAGTTTCATTTTATTCAGCATGGTTACCTAGAGCCTTTTATTGAAAATAAAAAAAAAGTCCTTTCCTACTCCGCAGCACCACGTGTATCACGAACCAAGTGTCTGTATACAAGAGTGTTTCATTGAGCTCTTTTGCTCTGTTTGCTTGTCCGTGTGCCAGTACCACACTGTCTTCATTACACTGGCTGCATAACAAATGCTGGCACAGCAAGTTGTCCCTCCTTATTCTTCTTCAAGTGGCATGGGATATTCTTGGCTCTTTGCATTCCCACAATTTTTGCAACTTGGAGGCATAATTGTATCATGAACTGCACATATTTAAGTTGTGCAGTTTGAGTTTTGACACATGTATACAGTTGTGAAGCCATGACCATGGTCAAGATAATAAACATAGCCACCAACCCCCTAAAGTTTCCTCCTGTATTTTTGTAATCCATTTCTCCTACCTCTCAGCCCTGTCTTTAGGTAAACATTCATTTGCTTTCTATCACAATAAACCAATTTGCATTTTCTAGAATGTTGCATAAACAGAATCATACAAAATGACATTTTCCATGTATAAAACATACAAAAACTGTATACCTTTTGGGGGGGGGGTGGAATGGGTGGATGCTGGCTCTTTTCACTTGGGATAATTATTTTGAAATTCACCTGTTGATGGATGTTGGGTTGTTTTCCCGTTTGTGACTCTTACAAATAATACTTCTGTGAACATTTATTTATAAGTCTGTGTGGAATAGGGAAGAAAGACCTTTCTAGTAGCATTCCAAACCAAGGATCCATAAAATAGACTGATAAAACACACATAATAGTCTAAGGACTAATTCCTCAGTACACAAAAACAAATTTCCAATAGAAAAATGGGCAAAGAAAATGAACAGTGAGCTGAGAGAGATGACTCTAGTAAGATATTTACTGTAGAAATGCTTGTTATAGCAAAATACTGGACATATTCGGGGCGCCTGGGTGGCGCAGTCGGTTAAGCATCCGACTTCAGCCAGGTCACGATCTCGCGGTCCGTGAGTTCGAGCCCCGCGTCAGGCTCTGGGCTGATGGCTCAGAGCCTGGAGCCTGTTTCCAATTCTGTGTCTCCCTCTCTCTCTGCCCCTCCCCCGTTCATGCTCTGTCTCTCTCTGTCCCAAAAATAAATAAATGTTAAAAAAAAAAAAAAATTAAAAAAAAAATACTGGACATATTCTAAATGACTTTTGGTAGGTGACAAATTATTATATGTATCCTACTATACTGATAGGGAATGGTTTTCAAGAAGATTCAAAACTGTGTAGAACACTGGAAAGAAAATAAAAGGACAGATTATCTATCTATCTATCTATCTATCTATCTATTATTCTTCACATATGTATGGATGTTTTGTAAGGAGAGAAACTGATAGTAGTTGCCTTTGGGGAGGGAAATTAGAGGCCTGGAAATAAGGGCTTGGATATAGACTTACATTCTACTGTTCTATTCTTTTTAAGTTTTTTACACTATACCTTTATCTTAAAAGTTTTTTTATTGATTATTTTTGAGAAAGACTGAGTGCGAGTAGGGGAGGAGCAGACAAAGAGGGAGAGTCTCAAGCAGGCTCTGCGCTGTCAGTGCAGAGTTGTTGTGGGGCTTGAACTCCTGAAGCTATGAGATCATGACCTGAGCTGAAATCAAGAGTCAAATGCTTAATCAACTGAGCCACTCAGACACCCCTCCCTTCATCTTTAAATTAGAAACTAAAAAGTCTGTCACCCTCTTGAAACACTAAAGCATTGATTATCATGGTCTTCAAATGGCTTCACTTATGATGGTTGGTTAATTTTAGGTAAACTGTATACTGTCACAGTGACTCAGTTTCCTCATTTATAAATGGGGGTGATAATAGTACCTAGACTTTAAGGACAGAATCCCATGAAGTGCTTTAGAAAAATGGTGGTGCCCAGTGATCTCTGAATAAGGCTGCCCGTTAAGGTGTTTACAGATGAATGACCCTGAAATGTTAGCCACATGGCTGATAATTTTGCTGAGACAAAACCGTGCAGTGAAGATTTTGTTAGTTGTGGTACCTGGCTGGCTCAGTTGGTAGAGCATACGACTCTTGATCTCCAGGTTCTGAGTTCAAGCCCCATGTTGGATGTAGAGATTACTGAAAAATAAAATATTTGGGGGAAAAAACAATTTTGTTGGTAGTGAGACAAGGAAACTTTGAGTCTTTAGTTTGGATAGGTATCTTTGAGTGACCTCCTAATCTGGTTCTGTCCCCACATCACTAACTTCTCTGCATTTGTCTTGGCTGTGTAAATTCTAAGGCTCCATGTAGCTCTCGTGTTCTGAGACTGATTCTTTTGGAATTCTGATTTTAGGACACCTCCTACCTATTCATCACTGGCCCGGATGTTGTGAAGTCTGTCACCAATGAGGATGTTACTCAGGAGGAGCTCGGTGGTGCCAGGACCCATACCACCATGTCAGGTTAGAGGCCTTGAGGCTCACCTTACTGTTTTTAAACACTGAGAAGCGGGCACTGCCCAAGAGAATAGTTATAATGTTTAATAAATATCACTTAATTGAGAATTTGAGAGGGCTGTGGTATGGTATATTTACTATAGATATAATAATAAAGAGATTTAGTAGCTCAAATTTGTTCAAACAAAAACAGTTACTACTAAAGCTTTGATATTATTTAAAATTTTAAAAGTAACTGGAATGGTGGTTATAACATTTGACCTTCAAAAAAAAATAGTGTGACTTTAAAAAAAAATTTTTTTAATGTTTATTTATTTTTGACACAGAGAGAGAGAGAGAGAGAGAGAGCGAGCACGAGCAGGGGAGGGGCAGAGAGAGAGGGAGACACAGAATCCGAAGCAGGGTCCAGGCTCTGAGCTGTCAGCACAGAGCCTGACACGAGGCTCGAACTCAGACCGTGAGATCATGACCTGAGCCGAAGTTGGACGATCAACCAACTGAGCCACCCAGGCACCCCTAGTGTGACTTTTTTTAATCAAAAGTTGGGTATGTCTGAGATGGCAGTGTTACCAATTGCTTTTGGTCAGGTACAGTCATAATGTGATGGTCATGGCCCACATTTTCACCTCTTTGGGGTTATGTGTTACACATGCTGAATTCAAAATGTATAAAGATTATTCTGTACATGGGCGTTGAAACAAAGGGTATTGTTTATGTAGAGTGGCATAGAATTTGGTGCAGGGAATGAACCTGACATTAATGAAGACATTTGTTGTTAGAGTGATATTTGGAATTTCATATTTTCTTGGAAGAAGACACCAAGTTGTGTAAGGATTGTATATGACACCAGAAGCAGTATAACTGAAGGCAGGAGCAGTGAGAAGCCAGTGTGACCAATTTATACATTTCCTCTCCCACCTCAGGTTGGCATCAACTTTGACTCATTCCTTTCCCTCAGCCGCCAGCTCTGTTTAGCAGTCTCCAGCGCACAGCTAGAATCAGAACCTTCTCATTGCTGATTCTCCCACAGCTGGTCCTCTCACTCTTGTCTCAGGGCTTAAATGGCAGCAGTATTTTTTATTTATTTTTAGAGCGTGTGAGCGGGGGAGAGGGGCAGAGAGAGAGAAAATCTTAAGCAGGCTCCATGCTCAGTGCAGAGTCTGATGCAGGGCTTGATCTCGCGACTGTGAGATCATGACCTGAGCTGAAATCAAGAGTCGGACTCTGAACTGACTGAGCCACCCAGGTACCCCAGGTGTTTTTCTTTTTCACTGGGATCTAAAATAATGTTAAGTATTGGTGACATCTGAGGTATTCACCTGTATATCTCCAGAGCAAGACCTATACATATTTTTTTTCTTTTTAAAACAGCTTTATTGAGGTACAGTTTACCTTTTATATTTGTGACATACTCATTTAAAGTATATAATTCAATGATTTTATGTGCTTAGTGTTTTTCAGTTATCACCACAACTTTAGAACCTTTTATTGCCCCTCAAAGCCCTGCATCCATTAGCATATGCTCCCCATATTCCCCCAAATAGTCTATCTCTAGGCAGTCACTGATCTACCTTCTATTCCTTTGTCTAGGAGTCATGTGATAATGGTCTTTTGTGAGCGGTTTCTTATATTTAGCATAACATTTTTAAGGTTAATCCATGTTGCAGCATGGATCAGTACCTCATTTTTATTGCTGGATAATATTTCAGAGTAGGAATATACCACATTTTATTCATTCATCACTTAAACACTTGGATTGCTTCCACATTTTGGCTGTCGTGAACATGCTGCTGTAAACATTCATGTACAAGTTTTGTGTGACATGTTTTTGTTTCCCTTGGAGTGGAGTTTCTAGGTCAAATGGTAACTCTCCCTTTTTGAGGAACTACCATGCTGTCCTTCAAAGTGACTGCACCAATTTATAAGTATTTCTTGAATAAAAGAATTCTGTGTTGAACACGAAACATTCATTCAGCATATATTCATTGAGTGCCTGTGTGTCAAGCATTATTCTATGTGCTAGGAATACCTTTGTGAAAGAAACAAAGATCCCTGCCCATATGGGGTTATATTCTAGTACAGGATGTAGACCATAAATAAACTTAAAATAAGGACATTGTATAGTATGGTAGAAGATAATCTGTGCTCTGGAAAAGTAGAACAGGGCCTGAGGTTGCTGTAGTTTGAAATAGGGTGGTAAGAGCAGGCCGCACTGTGAGGGTAACAGTTGAGCAGATCTGAAGGAGTTAACTGCATGAACACCAAAGGGAGAAAAGCTGCAGGCAGAGGGGATAGGCAATGCAAAGGCCCTGAGGAAGGGAAGTGGCTGGCATGTTGAGTGAACAGCAAGAGGGTGTTTGGAGACATGACATAATCTGGCCCAGTTTGGCTGCTGTGAGAAGAGATGGTAGGGGAAATGGTGGAAGCAGGGATTCTGGGAGAGAGTTTCTGGCCCTACTTTGTCCCGTCTGTGGCGTTATTTGGCTGTTCTGTGATTTCAGAGTATTCTTGAGGAATGATGGCTTCATTCCTCACTAGGGCAGGTGGTTCCCCACCTTCCCCTCCACCGTTGCTGAGTACCATGACATTATGTGCCAGCCATTATTCTTTTATTTTTTTGTTTTTCATCTGTATTGAAAGCTAAGTGACCTGTAGTGAGGTGTAATTCTTGATGTGGGACTATAGTGGTTTAAGATGGGCCTGTTCTCTACCCTGTTAGAGCTGATATTCTAGAGGAGATGTCATGCAGGAAACAAGGAAATGGACAGACCAGTGCTGCAGGGAAGGGTATGAAGAGAGCTCCCACAAGGATGGGGAGGCACATGAGGGCTGCAGGGAATAAAGAAAAGAGTGACCCTGCAGAGGTGTGGGTACAGAGCAGAGGGAACAGATTGCATAAATTGGAGGTCAGCCTGAAGATGTGTGGTATCCCATCCTCACAGAGGTGTTACTACGGTCTCCTGCCAACATGCCCTAGGAGTGGCAGGTGGACACGAAACAGCATCTGTGGGCTGACAGGTGTCTAGGCCTATTATAGCCCCTCTGTTTTTTTCAGGTGTTGCCCACAGAGCTTTTGAAAATGATGTTGATGCCTTGTGTAATCTCCGGGAGTTCTTCAACTATCTGCCCCTCAGCAACCAGGACCCAGCTCCCATCCGTGAATGCCATGATCCCAGGTGAGTTACAGGCCAGGGCACCAGCTCCCGTTGTGCAGGTTGACTTACCCTTTTCTGGCTCCTCTGCCCTGGCAGCACCTCCAGGCTCTGCCCTATTGGGCAGCTTGGAGTGGATTGTGGAGTGGAGCCAGCGAGGCCCCTAGGTGTTGGCATGGTGGTGGCATGTCTTGGTACAGGAGCAAAGAAAAGAAAAATTTTATTTGTATTCATTTTTTTTCCTCTCTGTAATATCTGAAAAATAACTTGGGAGTAAAAAGTGCCCCCACCCCCAGTTCTATAAGTCTTGATTTGTCCAGAATTGGAAATATTTTTTGTTCTGCCATGAAATGTGAAATGATGTAGACAGCATGCCCTTTTGAAAATGTGCTTATGCCCACCTGCTTGTGGCCAGAGGCCCGGGCAGTCCAGGGGAAGGTGTATTGTTGGCCACCTAGTAAACACTTTCTCTCCTTATTATTGGGGCCACTGCCTCATGGGGTTACATTATCAAGTGAGCCAGAGGCTCATTTGGGGAACTATTGTTCCAGATCTCTGGCTGTTTTCTTCTCCATTCTGTTTCCATTCTGAGATTCAAACTTCAGACTCCAACTACTTCAAACTCACTTGGCCTGGACTTTGTTTTGCAGAAAAAACTTAGAATTCTGTCTCCTAGTAAGAAGCCATTTTTAGACACTGTTCTGTGGAATGGACCTGAGCTTCCACATGCCTCAGCCCCACTCTTCAGGGGACCTAACCAGTGGTATATTATGTGTAGGCTTGAAAAGGAAGGTGGTCATAGGCCCAGAACGATGGACACAGCGTCCTTTTCTGAGCAACTGTACTATTTGGGATTCTTGAAAAATTTACGACATCATTTGAAGGTATTAGGGCCCAGGGGCTTAGGAATGACTGAATAGCCTGCTTAGCTCCAGTCATATCTCCTCTCCATTGATCCAAGAGTAGCTGTATGTATAAGTAGCAAATGAAAAATAAGGGAGGACTTTATCTGGTAGGGCTGTACCCAGTATCCCCCTATGTGGAGTTCTCTGGGAAGTTGGGCTTGAGGCATGTGGCTTTTACCAAAGTCAAACTTCAGCCCAGCTGTACATGTCAGGGCCAGAACAGTCCCTGCCTGCCTGCATGAGCAGGAGGGGATGAGAGCATGTGGGAGAGTGACACATTGCTGCTGAGCCCTCCTGTGGTGTGGGTGTGGGCCCTGTCAGGCTCTCTGCTCAGCCACAAAGGTGCATGAGGAAGCAGAACGCCATGAGCCTGGGTGACTAGTTAGTCCTCAGTGATTTTCCCCACAAGGGGGGCTACAGTTTTACTTTTTTAATATTTAGTTTTTAAAAATTAAATGTACTGTATCTCATTTTTTTATTGAGAGAAAGAAAGTATGAGCACAAGAGAGGAAGGGCAGAAAGAGAGGGAGGGAGAGAACCTTAAGCAGGCTCTGTGCTCAGAGCAGAGCCTGACATGGGACTTGGATCTCATGAGTTCATGACCTTAGCTGAAATTAAGAGTCAGATGCTTAAATGACTGAGCCACTCAGGCACCCCAGTTTTGCTTTTTTAAAAAGGAGCTTTAGCAGGTTTATTTTCCAACAGGGAATATGAACCCACAATGTTGAGTAACAGAACTCTGCCTTTGCATTTCCAAGTCCTTGTTCTTTTATTTTCAGTGTCTCAGAAAGTGAGAATAGGACTTGCTAGAACAGTGTCTTGTTCACTACAGTGTCCTGTAGTGCCCCATACTGTACCTGGAATGTAGGAGGTATTCAGAGGGGATAAATGAAGGAACCACATTGAGGAGAATAAGCTCGTTTCTTCCCTCTGAATGAAAACAAAGATCTTTTGGGTTAATATCAAACTCCTTTCAGTTTGATATGGTGGTAAGAAAGGAATGCATCTTTTGGGACTACTTTGCAAGCCCAGCAGGGACAGAATCAGCTCTGCTCCCACGTTTCTCCCATCCCCCAGCCACAGAAGGCAAATGGCTCTTCCTGTGTTGATTGTATCTGCTTCTTTTTCTGTCCAAAGTGACCGTATGGTTCCTGAGCTTGACACAATTGTCCCCTTGGAATCGACCAAAGCCTACAACATGGTGGACATCATACACTCTGTAAGTGCCACATCTGCTGGTTTTGTCTGTGCTAGCTCAGCCACATCCATGGTCCTGTGCTTTGGCGTATGGAGGAAATGCCAAATCCACAGGCTTTAACATTGGGCAACAGACGCAGAGCAAGGGTTGGGCACAGAACAGGGGCCACTCGTTAGTGTGTTCTAGGAAGAAATAGTGGCAGTAGCCTTTCTACTGCTTCTCCTGGACCTGAGGGCTGGGGGTAGGAGGAGCCACTTGGGTCAGGAGGTTTCAGGGGTCTTTAGACAGCACTGTGAGGTGCAGGGAGAAGAGTCGGTGACCCCAAAGTCTGGAGTTGAAACCAGGGAGTCTTTTTGTTAGTTATCTTTGGAATCTTATGCCTAAGAGGGCATTTGTTTCTCTAGAGATACACAAGGTATCCTTTGACAAGTTAGAGGGGGAATGTGTGGTTCTGAGGATGATAAGAGTCATTTGTACCACCTTTTTCTCGGTGTGGCAGATTCCCGGATCATTAAGTGAAACAGTGTTGGGGCAAGCTGGGACATGGCCATTGTCTCCTGCACACTCTTAGGTGCATGCTGTGCTCTCAGCAGTCCTTGCTTGATGTGCCCAAGAGCCATCTGTGTTCCAACCTTTCCCAGACTTACGGCTACCCTTCTCCTGTATTTGGGGGAACCAGCATGAGCCAGCAGCAGTGGCCAGATTCAGCTCCTCCTCATTGCTCAGTTCTTCAGCTTGTTGAGCACCATTTGAGCTGTGAAAAATATACCTCGCTAGGAGCATGCCCTTCTCTGACCTCAGCCTTCAGGACTCTCCATATCTGCATACTTGCCCCTGTCTCCCTCCCACTGCCTCTGCTCCCTGACTCTCCAGTTCCACTCTTCCCATTCCTCTGGAACCCCTAGTCCTCCTGGCCTCTGCCTTTTTGGTCCAACTTGGGTTCTGCCATTCTGCTGGATACTAATGACCAGGCACTGTTCTCAGTGCTGTAACTATAGGACACCATGAAGGGTAAAATCCCTGCCTCAGGAACTTCACTGTGTGATTGAGAGAGATGGAGAGCAAAAGTATACATGGCATTGGTAGTTTTAAGTCCAAGAAAAGTTTTAAGTTTAAAGAAGGTAAAATAGGGTCTCTGTCATCAGGTCCCCTGATTCTCCTTTTGCTGCATCCCACTGTCCTTCCATGTCTCCCCAGACTTACAGAATGAGGTTCCTCTACCTGAACTTCTGACACCATCCTTGCCCATCTGGGGTCTTGCTTGATTGATTGATTTGTATAAATCTCTTAACTTCTTCTCCCTTTAACTTGTCCCGCTAGCAAAACCCCCTCTTAACCCATATATGTGTTTAATTGCTGTCCAAGTCTTTTTCTTCCTTTTCATTTAAACCTCTTTTGTCTCTTTTTTTCCTCCTCACTGGAATTTGGCCTTTGGTTGTCTCCCTCTCTAGCTACATGCATATCATTGCAAATGGCAAGGTTTCATTCTTTTTCATGACTGAATAATATTCCAGTGTGTGTGTGTGTGTGTGTGTGTGTGTGTGTGTGTGTGTGCGCGCGCATGCACGCGCATGCGTGTGTGTGTGTACACACACATTTCTTTATTCATCTATCGATGGGCTGCTTCCATATCTTGGCTAATGTAAATACTGCTGCTATAAACATAAGGGTACATGTATTCCTTTGAAATAGCGTTTTATGTTTTTTGGGTAAATAACCCAATAGTGCGATTGCTGGATTGTAGGGTAGTTCTATTTTTAACTTTTTGAGGAACCTCCATACCGTTTTCCATAGTGGCGGCACCACTTTGTATTCCCACCAAGCGCACACAAGGGTTCCTTTTTCTTTTTAAAAAAAAAATTCTTTTTTTAACCTTTATTTATTTTTGAGACAGAGGGAGACAGAGCATGAACGGGGGAGGGTCAGAGAGAGGGAGACACAGAATCTGAAACAGGCTCCAGGCTCTGAGCTGTCAGCACAGAGCCTGACGCGGGGCTCGAACTCAGGGACCATGAGATCATGACCTGAGCCGAAGTCGGATGCTTAACCGACTGAGCCACCCAGGCGCCCCGAGGGTTCCTTTTTCTTTACATCCTCGCCAACACTTGTTTCATTCTGACAGGTGTGAAGTGATATGTCATTATAGTTTTGATTTGCATTTCCCTGATGATGTATGATGTTGAGCATCTTTTCTTGTGTCTGTTGGCTATCTGGATGTCTTCTTTGTGAAATGTCTATTCATGTGTTTTGCCTACTCTTTAATTGGATTATTTGTTCGGGTGTGTTGAGTTGTATAAATTCTTTACATAGTTTGGATACTTTGTTCACATGCATATGCTGATCAGCAGTCAGATTAAGATTCAAGGGGGTACAACCTTAAACTTACACAGTATTATATGTCAATTATATCTCAGTACAGCTGGGAAAAGATTCAAGAGGAATCCTCTGAAGCTCTCAGGAACCCTGTTGCTCTTGCCTGTTTGGTATGCTGGGCTGCAAACTTTAGCTTTATCAGATATGTCATTTGCAAATATCTTCTATTCAGTAGGTTGCCTTTTGGTTTTGTTGATTGTTTCCTTCACTGTGAAGAAGCTTTTCATTTTGCTATAGTCCCATTAGTTTATTTTTGCTTTTGTTTCCCTTGCCTCAGGAGATCTATCTAGAAAAATGTTAGTTGGTATGGCCAATGTCAGAGACACTACTGCCTGTGTTCTCTCTTAGGATTTTTAAGGTTTCTGGTCTCCTATTTAGGTTTTAATCCATTTTGAGTTTATTTTTGCATATGGTGTAAGAAAGTGGTCCACTTTCATTCTTTTGCATATAGCTGTCTGGTTTTCTCAATACCATTTGTTGAAGAGACTGTCTTTTTCCCATTGCATATTCATTCCTCCTTTATCGAAGATTAATTTACTATATTGTGGGTTTATTTCGGGGTTTTCTATTCTGTTCCATTGACCTATATGTCTATTTTTATATACCATATGACAACTGGTGTTACTCCAACTTTGTAATATAATGACAAGTCTGGAATGGTATCATCTCCATTTTTTTTCTTTTTCAAGATTGTTTTGGCTATTTGTATATCTTCTGTGGTTCCATACAAATTTTAGTATTGTTCTAGTTTGGTGAAAATGCTGTTGGTATTTTGATAGGGATTGCATTAAATCTGTAGACTGCTTTGAGTAGTATAGACATTTTAGCAATATTCTTATAATCTATGAGCATGGAATGTCTTTCCATTTCTTTGTGTCCTCTTGAATTTCCTTCGGAGTACAGGTCTTTTACCTCTTTGGTTAAGTTTATTCCTAGATATTTTATTGGTTTTGGTGCAGTTGTAAATGGGATTAATTTCTTAATTTCACTTTCTGCTGTGTCATTATCAGTGTATAGAAATGCATCAGATTTCTGTATGTTGATGTTGAATCCTGTGACTTTACTGAAATTGTTTATCAATTGTGGTAGATTTTGGTGGAGTCTTCAGAGTTTTCTAGTATAGTATCATGTCATCTGCAAATAGTGAAAGTTTACTTCCTTCCCAATTTGGGTTTTATTTATTTATTTATTTACTTACTTATTTAGATGTCTAATTGCTGTGGCTAGCACTTCCAGTACTATGTTGAATAAAAGTGGTGAGAGTGGACATCCCTGTTTGTTCCTGACCTTAAGGGAAAAGCTCTCCATGTTTTCCCATTGGGTATGATGTTAGCTGTGGGTTTTTATATGAGGCCTTTATTATGTTGAGGTATGTTCCCTCTGAAACTACTTTGTCAAGGGCTTTTATCATGCATGTACTTTGTCAAATGTTTTTTCTGCATCTATTGAAATGCTCATGTGGTTTTTATCCTTTCTTTTATTGATTGTTTTACAAATGTTAAACCACTGTTGTAACCCAGGAATAAATCCCACTTCATCATGGTGTTTGATTTTTTTTTTTTTTTTTAATGTAATGTTGGATTCAGATTTCTAGTATTTCACTTTTTATACTTTCGAAACCTATGGTCTCTTTCCCACTCAAAGAGTCCTCTTATATTTCTTGCAGGGCTGCTTTAGTAGTCATGAACTCCTTTCGTATTTGTTTGTCTGGGAAACTCTTTATCTCTCCTTCTATTCTGAGTGATGGCCTTGCTGGATAGCATATTCTTGGCTGCAGATTTTTCTCTTTCAGCACTTTGAATATGTCATGCCACTTCCTTCTGGCCTGCAGTTTTTCCTTAAAAATCCACTGATGTTATGGGGTTTCCCCTTATATGTAACTATTTTTTTTTCCTCTTGGTGCTTTTAAAAGTTTTTCTTTGCACTGCTTTTGCCATTTTAATTACTGTGTGTCTTGGTGTGGACTGCCTTGTGTTGATTTTTGGGGGCAGGGGGTGCTCTCTGTACCTTTTGCATCTGGATATCTGTTTCTTTCCCAAGATTAGTGATGTTTTTAGCTGTTACTTCTTCAAATAAATTTTCTGCCTGCTTTGTCTCTTCTTGTGGATCTGTAATGCAGATATGATTATGCTTGATTGAGTCACCGAGATCTCAGACTGTTTTCAATTTGCATAATTTTTTCCTTTCATTTATTCAGCATGGTTACTCTCCATTACTCTGTCTTCCACATCATTAATTCGTTCCTTTATCCAGTCTATTTATTCCATCAAGTTTATTTTTAATTTCACTTATTGTGTTCATAATCTCTGATTCAGTCTTTATATCTTTGTGTTTTTAAAGTTTTTAAAAAATTTATGTTGAGAGAGCACAAGCATGAGTGGGGGAGGGGCAGAGAGCAATGGGGAGAGAGAGAAAATCCCAAGCAGGCTCTGCACTGTCAGCTTAGAGCCCAATGAGGGGCTCAGACTCCCAAACCATGAGTTAATAACCTGACCAAAATCAAGAGTCAGACACTTAACTGACTAAGCCACCCAGATGCCCCTAGTCCTTATCTCTTTGTTAAGGGTCTGACTGATGTCCTCTACTCTTTTCTCAAGTTCAGTGAGTATCTTTATCATGACTTTATATTCTCTATCAGGCATATTAGT